TATGTGTCCACTTGGTGACTGATCACAATTTGTGTTTCCTATCTATGCTGTAAGCACGGGTCCATATCCAATCTGCACTTTATATCATTGACAATATATGATGTCAACAAAGTTACCCCTCAAATTGCTGAAATGATACTTCAAGGGAAACATTTAAGTAACAAACTGCCTGTATCAGAAAGTTGAAAATATGTTAAGAATCAATAATTTCAAAATTTAACTAAGATGACATGAAAACTTGAAAACTCCACCTAGAAATGATTGTGTATTCATTCTAGTCACCTAAAAAAAGTGTTTTGTTCTACTGGAGACAGAAAGGGGGCTTAGAGAGCATCTTTGGGGCTACATGAAACCTGGAATCCGTACATCCTCCAACCCCTTCACATTCTGTGCTGTGTATTTATGAGGTCACTAAGCAGGAATATAAGAAAATCCATTGCTTGAATGACATCCTTCCAAACACCCTCAAAAAATACATGGAAATGTTGCATTGCAAACTGTGACTGGAACAAGGCGAAAAAGAAGTGAACCAGGGATCTGTCTTTGATTGAATGAGTCTCCAGGAATTTAGTTAATTTGTATTATAATCATAATATCCTAAATAATAAACTCTTCCTTTTTTGGAAGGAGATTTAAGTTAATTGTATGGGAAGTAAAGTTATCATATACAATTGGATATTTGTTTGTTGAAAATAAATTGAAAATGAATGTTTTCTAGGGTTGTTTTTGTTTTGTTTTGTTTTTCCTCCTGGCATCTGGGAACTGAAGCACCAGTCAAGAGACAGCTATGTAGGACGCACATAATTGTTACTGCTACTAGATTATCAGTCTAAAACCACAATCTGTAATTTATTTTTGTGAATGGGCTCAAGCCTAAACTACTTTTATATTTTACTGGGAGTGCAAAAGCATGCTACTTCATATTTATATAGCATTTTAAGATTTATAAAAACATGGGATTAACCTCACATTCTAACCTGATGGATTAATGAGACAAAAGGAAGTTATATGACAGATTTTCAATCAATTATGGTCAGGGTTTGCTAGCTGGATTTAATGCTGGGGGAACTAGAAATAATAATTTCCCTCATTTTATTTTTTTAGGCAATTGGGGTAAAGTGACCTGTTCAGGGTCACACAGCTAGTAAGTGTCAAGTTTTTGGTCCGAGGCCAGATTTGAACTCAGGTCCTCCTGACTTCAGGGTTGGTGCTCTATCCACTGTGCCACCTAGCTGCCCCTTTCCCTCATTTTTTCATGGATGAGGAAACTGAGTTCCAGGGGGATACAATGATTTGCTCAGTATAGTAAGCCCAGAACAAGGTTTTGAATTCAGGCTATGAGGCAAATCCTGTGCTGTTCTTACTATTATTATTATTATTATCATCTATGTCAACCACAGACACAGAGGTCATCATATTTGTTGACAACACTTCTAAATCTAAATTGACATGGCATATCAAAATATATTAAGGACAAGTAACCTTACAACCACATCTGGACTATGGTGAATCTCATAACACTAAAAATTTTCAATTCCCCAAAATCAGAAAAAGGGAAAGAGAGAATGTGGTGCAATGTTTTATAGCTACAAGAAGCTTAGACAACTTTTTTTTTTTAAAGGAAGGCTCTAGGAAAACTGAACCACAGTTTTCAGGTTCCAACATAAAGGAAAGAATGAGGCGGTGCAGAAGTGGTAGATAAGGAAGGACCTGATGGTATCAGTCTAAAAACAAAGGGCAAAGTGTTTAGGTCAAACATTAGGAAAGAATTCTTAGTTTAAATGGGTAGGAGGGAAGGGAAGTATTCCTAGGAAAAGCAGCTAGAAAGATAAATTTCCTGTTTTACTTGAGAACGAATGGCAGCAGCTCTGGCAGCTGACATCCCATAATACCAATTTATTTGTGGCTCTTCTTTTATCTACTAACATCTACCCCTGTTCCTAGAACACATGTGAAAAATGTTTCTACCTTAATAAAATCAAGTTGGTGACTCTCTCCACCATAGATAGGGTTAAAGGCAAACACTTTAAACACAGTTATTGCCTTCTACTTCAGAATCCTACTGGAGGATATTCACAATCTAAGGACATGTCCAGGTCTCAACAGAACAAAAGTAGTAGAGGGACATGCTAACAGGTAGGATGATGGCCCAAATGAGTAGAAGGGGGTAGAAGACATAGAGACTAGATGACCAGCCCTGGAGGAACTGAGAGTTGCCTTCAGATTAACTTTAGCGTGATGGCTGGGCACCTTCAGAAGCTGTGAATTCTAACTTAAACAGTTCCAAATGTCAAAGGGTTAAATGTTGCATTCTATTTCTGTTATTGAAGGTCTGCTCAGATACTCTTCAAATACCATTTATTCCATGTTTAACTTGAGCAGGGTACTTCTTTCAAATAATGACATTTACTGCTACTACAACTAGACAAATTTTAGTATGGACTATAATCTAGCTCAACCTCTCTTACATGTAGACAAAAGAATAATGTCAGTGTCATCGGGCCTCAAGTCAAAGTTCATCAAATTTGATGAGATTCAAAACATATTGGACAAAACTTGCAAAAGGTTAGAAAGAAAACAATTCTGTCCTCTCTTCTGATACCATTGGTTCTTCTCAGCATGTTTCACTTGCAGTAACAATGACCTTAAGAAACAGTCCATTAAGTGAACACGATCCTCTGAAAAAGGAACTTTTTAACATCATAAATTATGCTTAGTCCAAGCACACTATGCTGATTTTATAATAGCTTCATTAAGTATTTATTATTTTTATGGACAAGGTCAACTTTTTGAAGAAACAAAAACAAATCAACCATAAGGAAAATGTATGTGGTTTTTTTTTAATTTTTTTTTTGTCAATGCCAGAATCACATAAATGTTTGGTAAAGAGTTTCATTAAATCTAAATACTGCTTTTTGGAGATATCCCATCACAGAACAAGTACGGAACATCTTAAATAAAACAACATAATTAATAACACCAGTTTATCAGGCAGTTCATCTCAATACTTTCGACTCACTTTTCCATTTAGAGAAAACTGAATGAGAAAAACTTAAATTCTACCTGTAAGCACACAAAGAATAAAATAAAATTAACAACCTAAAATAGGTTCCATTTTATACTTTCTGCAGGCGTTTGTTAAAGGTGCTTTGCATTTGGTGGTTGACATATATTTGCACATTTAAAAGAGCTGGGTTAAATTCAACATAGACACTGTAAAACAAGCAAAAACCACTCTCTCCCAAGAAATACAACCTGCTTTATGAATGGTGGCACAGGTTTTACTGAACAACGTTTTATTATTCATTTGAAACACCTGGACAAGGTATGGGAAAATTTGGTACATTAGTCTGAAGAAGTAAAAACTTTAAAAACTGTGTTTACCTAAACTAAAATATATAGATTTTTTTGATCCCAAACAATGAGGAGCTTAGGGAGAAAAAAGATTTTTTACACTTTAAACAAACAAAAACACTGTTTTTTTTTAACAAGTACCAAACATTGAGGGTAACAGACAATATTAGAGGAAAAATAATTAATTGATCATTATACAAATAACAATAGCACTGTTTAAAAGCTAAAGTTCTGTACCAGTACACACTTGTAACTATTAAGTTAAACAGGTAGGCATTTTAATATCTGTATGAAAATAATGTCACACAATATAGTACAATTTATAAAGCACTGTGAATGAGAAAATTTTCTAATGTGTCTAGTGCTAATGCACTCAAAATTACTTATGACCATACTGGAGCACCATTCACCAAGGACCACAAGCACAGTCTATCTATATTAAAAACCCAGACAGGGACAAGTCTAGGTATACTTTGTTTTCTAGAAAAAAATACACATGTAACCAATACACTCATAGCTACAGTTATACTAGTCACAATTTTCACATCTTAAAGATCTATAGTATGTGCAATTTCAACAATGGATTTGTTTTCCTCAAAAATGTTTTTTTTTTAAAGATCTGCTGTTTATGCAAAGCACAAAACAGGACATGAATGTGGCTTATCAACATAGTTCCTATAATAAAACAAACTGAATAGTTTTTTTTTTTAAAGCTGGATTTTGGGTCCATATGGCCTATTAAAAATCAAGGAGAAACAAGATAATCCCATTCATCATTATTAAAGCTAGCATGCTTATCAAGATGTCTTCAAACATCCAAAATATTTTAGTATTTTTAGGAAATCTCTATACAGAGCATTTAGTGGTGAAACTTCTGCTAGTTAAAAACACACACATTAAAACAAGCTTGAAATATATCTGATAATCACTTAGTATGACCAGCTGAAGGAAGTAAATCAAGGTGATTTAAACTACATTAAAACCTTCTCGTTGAAATTAAAGTCAACAACTATAACAGGTTTGGGTACTTTTTAGTGGCACTGGAAATAGAATTCTTTTTCTTATTAACAACACATCAAGAGTCTTATGCCCAATTTGCTAATATTTCTTATTCCCTGTTAGAGACAGATGCCAATCTAAAAGCCTTGGTGTAGAGTTCTCTGTTTTCACCAACACCTTCCATGTATTGTTCCTTCCAATTTATTTATTGGCACTTACCTTGAAGGATTAATTAAAAATGACATTCTGTTGGCTTTGTCTGGAATATAAATACTCTATTGTGGCTCATTTCATTCAGAATCAGACCTCAAGGCAACAGAATGAAATGACTAGAAAAATACACATTTATTTATCTTGGACAGGGAAACTGACCAGACGTTATGAAATTAAGATTAAGCATATAAAATGATGAAAGTCAAATGCGTGTTAGAAAAAACATCACAAAGCCTTGTACGTTTTCCTTCATTCAGGAAAACTGTCAGAGGTCTTAAAAAAAAGCAATAACTATCACAAAACTCTGAGGTGTGTTTGTTAGTTTGGATATATATATATATACATATATATATGTATATATATGTATATATATATATATATTACTGTATATGTACATATAGATACATACTCACAAGCCAAGTTAAATAATTATTTTTATAATTGCTAAAATTTTAAGCATTCTTTGTTTTAAAATTACAGTTCTGCTAAAATTATCAAAATAATTCTCTATAAATACTGGGAACAAAATCAGAAGTGTTGTTCTCCTTTCAACTGTGGCCATAAATCTCATCATCAAGCTTGGTCACCTAAAGCCACATAGCTCAATCAGAGCAAATTTTGGCAATCAATAGTAAATTCTCCCTCCTTTAATTTTAGAATATATATGTGTGTATATATATATATATATGTCATATATATTATCTGTACTCACACTTCTTTTAGTTATATTATAATTTTTCATTAATGAATTTACATAAAAACACACAGCTCGAGATTCTACAAGTACTGAACATTTTGTACAGGTGCGTCTCTTCTTCAAATGTTTGAGATCTACAATGAACTCCATCAGGATTCCGAGATCATAAAAATGATACTGCACACAGCATACACTAAAAATGAGGAAATACTCAGGCCAATCGATATGGTCTGGGCACTTCCTCCATACTAAAACAAAGACTATGAACTAGCACATCATTGCACGATACAGTCAATTCTCAATTATTCAGGGTATGACTGACCACTGTAACTTCTCCTTTCCCCTCATGGTGAACCTGTGGGCCATTTCACTACTCATGTTAGCACCTCACGACAAGGTGTTCCAGAAATCCTAGCTATTACAGCTTGAAACCCGTACAAGGACTTCTGGGATACTCCATTGAAGGTTATGACAGGGAAAGTGAGAGAATGTGAAATATCTTACTTCAGTTTGCTTCTAATTAATTCACTTGAAAATGTGGTGGGGAGAATCTTTGAGTTAGGTGTTAATCTTATTTATTCATGAACTACCTCCCCCTCATCTTTTAGATAATTAAGAACTGACAATAACTAAATATTGCCAAATAACCCTTGTCCTTACACCCTGCAAAGTAACTCTGATGCTTCAATACAAAATGAAATGCTCCACTTGACAGGAGAATACTGCAACTTATTCACAATTAGTTGTTATTGAAGAATTCAGCACGGGTAGTCCAGATCTGTTCATTGCATGACACTGTTGTAGGCTATCCTACTGCTTTCTTATAGTTTCAACCATGAGGTCAAACTAAAGTAGCCATTAATATGCAATCTGTTAAAACATCAGAAAACCACAATGAAAATGTGATTGATATACGTCTATATATCTTTCACTTTAGACGGTATTCAAAGCAATCTGGGATAGTTTGGCAGACAGACATATAATTAAAATGAAGAGCGATGGAAACAGAAAATACAAATAAAATCACTGCTACACTATGCTAGCCATACCTACACTATGGTGTAGTATTTAAAAAGTGTGGTTTCATTAAAAAAAAAAACACCCATACAACTACGATAAAAGCCATCTACATACATAACCCTGTTATTGGCACTGAATTAGCCTCTACATTAAAACATGTTCTACAGATAGTGACCGACAAATTCAAGGATAAATATTTCCACAAGTGCAGAAGGTGTCTCCCAGACACCACTCAGGAGAGTTCATGTAGCATCACCTATGTTATTACTGAATACAGATGAATGCAGATCCCACCCTCAAAAACAACAGTAAAAGCTGTATAGAAGAACACGTTCCTGAATTAGGTTTGCTGAACACGGTTCAGATTATTGGCTATGTCAATAAGCACAATGCCTTGGAGAAGCATTTACAGTATACCCAAATCCTACTCCATGCAACACACAGTGTCACATAAGTAGGGAAAATGTCATCCTAGTCAAAGGTGCTTGGGCGTTATTTTCAGGCAGCATTTTACCTTTATTTTTCATTACGTTCACACTAGATAAGTTTTAGGAGAAAGAAAAATGCCAATAGAGTGACTTTAATAGATACTTATATATCATATAAAATTGAGACAGACATTTTAAATTACCTAAACAAATTGTTTCTTTTATTTTTCTACCCTATTCTAGATCTCAATTCTACTTTTCTTTTTAAAAAAAATTAAATAAGGGATAAAATGTTGCCCAAAAGTCTAATCATAGTTACGCATTTGTGTTTTAACTACATCTACAAATAAAAATGGTTCTTATAGTTAAAAAGATACAATTTGTATCAACAGTAAAAGGTACTTTCTGGTTTTTCAGGGTTTCACTCCATACTGCAGCAAGTAGAATAATCAACAGTAAATCACGAACTATGGAACTGTCTCAAAGCCGACTGACCTGAATAATCCCATTATACTATGCAGAATTCTACAACGTAGGCAATAGCCCAAGCTATGTCAATCAACTGTCTACTGCCAAATGCAAAACCTATTTTCTAACCCATGAAAATGGAGCTAGCAAAACCCATGACTTTTAAACCAGAAATATCCCTTACTAATACTAGAACAGACTTTAGTCTGTTTCTAAAACTACTCTATTGTGGCAAGAATCAGGCCCTAATAATATAACAGGCCAAAAAACTACCTTCAAGAAAATATACAGTATCTTACAAAAAAACTTAAGTTACCATTTACATTTCCTCCACCACCATCCCTATAGTGCAGTATCAATAAATTTTGCATATCCTCAATGCATAAAACCATCTCAGGCCAGCCTTGATAAACAGCAAGAAAACTGAACAGTACATTAAATATAAAAGTTGCATTGAGAATAATTAGATTCATTTAAAAATAGGTAAATATTGTGAAAGGGTGTTTTATCCAGTATTCCTGTGTGCCAGTACAAAGAGGCAGACACACATAAAACAAGAGCTTAATGGAAATCTAGGATTTCAATTCCATTTCTATTGTTTAGAAGCACAAAGAGCTGGATAATGATACAGATCTAAATCGAGACTTTTTAGGCTTTTGCCTTATCCATAAGGAATGGAAACTAATTTGTTTTCCATTGATTGCATCTGCTGTCCTCTAAATCAATCATATTAAATCAACTATTTAACTAATAGAAAACAAAATAAAAACAAAAACAAAACAATAAAAAGTGCCATGTATTGTAAATCACTCTAATATACTGTTACCCATTTCAATAAAAACTGGTAACTTACATTTTGTTTAAAAAGATAAAGTCAGTGCTGTATAATATCTTTGTTTTCTATAAATAATGATTCTAGCACAAAAAAGCCCACTTCCCCCAAATAAAAATAATTTTAAAAAGCTGTAAAAGACTCAAATTAAGCCTGGCTTGACAAAAGTATGCTAATCTAGTCAAATGCGCTCAACTTTCTGAAAGTATTGTAATTTCTTGCAAATGATAGGCAAAGACCCAATTAATTAAACATAAAACAAGGATTAAAAAGTGCTGCATATAAACCCCTGATGCACCAAAAATTATTATCAAAGATCACAGATACATCTATCAAACCAACCTGGAAAAATTTCCAGTTGTGAATATAGTTTTAAAAAAAGGAAACATTAAAAAAAAGTCAAGTTTGAAGGTAAAAGAATCCCGTGATACTTCCAATGCATGGGGCTATACATACAGATACCATGATACAGGATTTCACATAAAGGGATTACTAGAGAACCTCCTTGCTGAGAAGGAGATCACAAATGCTACTGTAGCAAACCTCCCTCAGCATCTGAGCTGAACAAACAACGACTAAACACCACGAAGATGCGTCATTGCTCAATAACCCAGCTGTGATTTCTCCACTAAAATAGCTGCAGCAAGTTGCTGAGCATCGGTCATGTGTGGGTTTCTTTTCATGACAACTCTCACAAGGTCGGATGGGAAAATGTTGCACAGGTTGACGTACACCTTTTCTCGGCTGTCCTGGTATCTCGGAGCATCTTGCGGCAGGCCACAGAAAGGTGCCCGCCACGTCTGGTCCTGCTGCTCAGGTAAGCTTTGGAAAGTAAATGGCTCATAGCATGGCTGGGTGGCGTTATCAGGCAACGAGTACGTCTGACGGTAGCCATATGCATCAATGCCATAATTCTGCCTCTCCCAGGTCCCCGGCCCCTCTTGGCGGGAATAAGGCTTTCTTTGTCTAGAAGGAGAACTGTCATAGAGCCGAGAATCTGAAATACTGTCTATCCGTGTGGACACTAAAGATCTCCCCAGGTGTAGTGTCTTAGAGTGTGCTGAATTCTGAGGAGAGGGATAATCGCCAGGGCAACTGGACCGAGCCCCCACAGCTGGATGCTGCAAATGCACAGCCATGTATGGAACGGGAGGCTTATGATGATGCTTTGGTTCTTCATGACTGTAACTTTGCACTCTAGTTAAGGGATCATGGAAAGTTTGTAGAAAGGGCTGGGAATTAAGGCGGCTGTGTGGGTGCATGTGTTGACACTTTAAGCTCTCCTCCAGTTGTGGGTCAGGAGAACTAACATAAGACCTGTCATTGTACCCCACATAGGAATCACTGCTCCCACAACTCATGCTCCCTTCACTACTGCAGTCAGAGGCTACAGAACTGATTCTGTAATCTGTGTCTAAGGAGAAACGCCTTTCAGGACTCCTGGGGCCAGAGACACTAAGATTTGAGTATGCATTCAACATGGAATAATATCCAATGTCAACAGGTGAATCACATTTTGGATACTGTTCATAAGGCATTGGCGTTCCATGATTTTTGGTTGCCATCATCATCGGAGGATACTGACCCTGGGGTCTTTGATCCTGAGGTGAGAAATGAACTCCAGACGGAAGGCCATTGCTTAAAGGCGTAGTACTTTGGGGTTTTGCAGCAGAGGAAGATGGTATACTAACTAAAGAAGGAACAGACCTGGTTTCCAATTTGTTTTTGGTGGGAAGCTTTTCCTCTAAGTCTTGATAGACTTGAGTTCTTATGCTAGGATCTGATTGCCTCTTTGGAGCAGCCCGTTTGACATCAGAAGTGCTATCAGTTTTAGTGCTACAAGGAACACTATTGCTTTTCACTAATCCTCCTTCATTTGCAGTTTTGGCTGCTGTATTTCTAGACATGGCACGAAGTTCATCAGCTACTGATCTCTGTGGCTGACTTCCCCTCTCAGGATGGTAGTATTTGCACTTGTGTCCATAGGTACATTTCTTTCCTAGGAAAAGCAAAACAAAGTGAACTAGAAAGCATAAAAAGGGTCTTTAAAATCCAAATGAACATTCAATTTTAATATGAGAAAAATAAAGGAAATTTGACACATATTAGGAAGCATCCTCTTTCCTCTGGAGAGAAATCACCTTTGAATTCACACATCATTCTTCTCTGTCATGAAGGCTGGTTTGAGTAGATGATTTAAATACTTCTACAGTGCTTTGGCTATGATATTACAATCCTACCTCACAACACATTGATGTAAAGTTTTACATCAGGCAGAAACTACCACTTTGTAAAGTGATAATCATGTTTACTTGAGTTGCACTTTGGCAAAAGACATAAATGCAAGTTTCTAAGAGGGGACAAAGAAAGCTACTGGGTGAAAACTAATCTCATGTGGAACACATCTCTGACTTGTGGAACCACATTTTAATTCAGGCAAATTTCTTCATAACTGACTCTAACCATGTTAATAAATAGGTAGTTGGCAAGTATAAACCTCTTTCTCTGCCACAGATCAACTCAATGAGAAGCTGAACCAAGATACCAAAATATTTTAAAATCTCATCACAACTAAGAAGACTGTGTACCATTCTAAGTTATATTTAATAAAAAATAATAATTAACAGTTACATACTCAACTAAATGCAAGTCTACATAATGCAAGTTACCATAGGGACATGGCTGTTTCTTATGTTCTGGAACAATAGGCTTTTTCCTTAGAAAGTTGTCCAAGCTTGGGCCATGCCGGCCAAGAGGATCATCAGGGGGCATGAACCTAAAACATATAGGATGAAGAATTCCAAATTAACAAAGAAGTGGATATACTAATTCCAATGCAGCTATTTTGTATAATAACTCAGTCATTGTATGGTATTTTAATTAAAGATTTAATCAAAGAGATTTTGTTTAAAATTTTGCAAAGCAAATATTTAGTAACTGAAGCCCAGTTTTCATTTGCAAAACAAACTTAAGTCACCAAGATGTACATAAGTTTGTTTTGCTCCAAATATTATTTGAGATATAAGATTTTCCAATTACTCATTGCCTCCTTCCTCTTAGTTCTCCTGATGTTTTGTAAGCATACAACTGAAGAATATCTTGGCTCAGAATAATGTGTTTTGGCACAATGCTTAATTTCATAAGAATGTTCCTATATGAGTGAACTTATACTCCCATCTGTCTTCAGAAGACTATTACATGTGCATATTTTTTAAAAGATCTTTATAAACATTAACATGCAAAACACATAACTGGCAATTATAAACTCCCTTGTCCAGAGAAAGAAAATGATGTAGAGACCAACCCAATGAGCTGCTGACCCACTAGGAGACCTTAGGACTACTAAATCACAGTCAAGGTACCAGCATTAGAGAGCAGAAGGAAATTTATTTAAGTAAATTGCTGGAAATATTGGGAGGACTGAGGATGAAATCAAAAAAGTCTGGATACACTAAAATATTTTCTCTAAATTGATCAAGAAACAGTTAAAATTGGGCCCCAAATTAGATGTTTCTGTTCTCTTGCTCTTGTACCCCCTGCTATCCCAATTCAAGGACAAGCTAAGATAGGGAAAAATGTTTTAATATCTCCCTTGGGCAAACCCTCAAAAAAAGGGGGCAGGAAGGATATAGTGTGACTCTTTAACCTGCATAATCGAATTAAAATTAGGACTCAGTTCTAATTCTAGCTTTGTCACTGTTTGACCTAAGAACAAGGTAAATCATTTAACAATGTCTCAATTTAACAATGTTAACTGAAATGTTTTTAAAGATGGCTTTGACACCTTAAAGTTGGCCCTGACCTTGAGCGAAGGAGGGACAAATTAGCCTCTGAACTTAACTGTGTTTCTTGTTTGCATTAGCTTAATTTTAAAACTTCAAAAACAATTCAGATCTCTAACAAGTTAGCAATGTTCCAGCATGTTTTTTTTTGTTTTGTTCATAAAGTTCAAAATCCAATTACTTACTTGTCATTAACAAAGGAATACATCAGCAACCGCTCATCTATAAACTTCTTCCATTCTGGCTTTTCATTAGCCAGATCCCTGTAGTTATCATTGGACACAATGATACCATCAGACTCAAAAGCCAATTTTACAATGAATCTGTCATCATAACATACTACTCTTCTTCCCTGAACACGTCGGGATGGAGTGAACACCAAAATTTTCTCCTTCTCCAACTTACGTAAAATTTCTTGATCTGGAAGCAAAAGACAAGCAAAATTTCAGTAACAAGGGAGGGGGGACATACATACACACATACATACATACATACACACACAAACATACATACACATAATATATTACATATATGTACATTAATATATGTATCTGTGTATAAACACACATATATGTATGTAAATGGTATTTGCCAGCACACATATCAACAGTAGGATTTTTTAAACAGTTCTTTCTGATTGACAAAAATTTATTCAAACTATACTTTAAAAAACATTCTTTTCTGCAAAGTTATATAATTTAAACTGTATGTAAAATGAAATAAAAGCACAACTTTGCATTTTTATTACTACTCTCCTAGGGAAAAATAGGCGACCATTTTTGAAAGGGTGATCTGACAAAACTATAAGATGAGAGGAAGTACCACTGCCATCTTCTATGAGAACATGGAGTCAGGATTATTTTTCTTGCGTGAATTTGCTCATTTTCTAACTAATGGGGAATCAATGAAGGAAGAGAAGTGACAGGAAAAACACATCTCAAAAGGCAACGGAAGATGGGCTTCTTCATATCTATCTTAGCAGCGTGATAATCAAGCTCAAGGAGAGAGGCAGACTTAGAGTTGCAGGTACACAGGTAGACAGGCCTGTTTACCCTTAAAGAGTGTACCTGGCAACACAATCTTACTTCACAATCTTCATCCTTGTTTGTGACTGAGTGAATGTAGGACAAGAGGCAATTATAACAAGTGAAACTGGGTGGGTAGGGGAGAAAAAAGGAAAAGACCAGACCAAGAAGTGCTTATAATGACACTTCAGCAATTTTCTTTTTCTTCATCATTACTTCTGTGCTACTCATAGCCAATTGTTCCTGAGATTATTAAACCTCTGGATTGCCCTAGATCAATTAGAAAATCTTTTTGGCATTTAAGAGCCCTTCACAAGGTGGTCCCTTCCTACCTTTGCAGCATTACATTTTATTTCCCTCCACTCACTCTATCACCACACTATACTGGCTGTTCCCCATGGCTGGAATATTCTCTCTCCTCTTTTCTACTTCCTAGCCTCCCAGGTCAATCCTTTCTACAGAAGGCCTTTTTTGGTCTACACTGCTACTAGTGCCTTCCTTCTGAGATCACCTTCTTTTTACATGATCTAAATCTTATTATTTATATTACTGTATCATAGTAATTTGTGTCCTGTCTCTCCCATTAGAATGTGAGCTACTTGAGGGCAGGAACTGTATTTTTCCTTTTTTTGTATCTTGGCACTTATCATAGTGCTTTGTACTTAATAAATGTTCATTTACTGAACTGACTGTGATCCGTAGTGGTACATGGGTGTTATCTGTATATGTTCTGCTTATCCAAGGTGTAGCCGTGGCTCTGGGATGGACCCAACAAGCCAGTCAATGGCAAAAGAACCAGGTTTCCTAACTTTCAGGCTAGTTCTCAGGTGCTGTTATCTATCTCCCATGTGTCAAAGGTTGAAGGAGAATCTTACAGAATTAGTCAAAGGTTCTACAATGAAGCAATATTTACTCCTCTAATTAACAGAGGAAAGAGGTCATGAACCAAGGTCTTCCTGATTCCAAGACTGACTTCCAGACATTATGCCATGTTGCCTCTAGAGCTGTTACTTTCACTTAAATTTTGGTAGAGTAGGATGTACCTTTCCTTGTCATGTACTGAGTAAGTTACTGATCTGGCTGCTACGTTTTATTTGATGAAAAAAATCAGTCTGCACTTGGCAGGTGTGTTGATTGTATTTGCTTGACCATTGGAAAGTTACTTAACCTCTCAGGGCCCAAGCAATGCTAAGATGATCATGGTGAATCTGCAGCAGTGGAGGGAGTTTCCAAACCATGAGTTCACTACCCAGATGAAATCACAGGGTCAGACCAATCTATCTTACCCCAGAGCTTACCTGTGATGAGAGCATCAGGTCTTGACTGCTCTTTTCTCCAAGCAGGAACAAACACTGTAATATCTTTGTGGCCTCTTTCCAAAAACCAATCAACAGCCAATTTTATTCCACGGCAGGAAAATACTTCTTTATTCCCATGGCTGAAAGATATTATTTTAGAACACTTGAAACATAAAAGTCAACAAAATTTAAAGTTCCTACTAAATTTAAGTCACTTTGCCAGGCTAAGAGGGGCTGTACAGAGATAAATAGCCTCTGCCTTCAAGGATCACACAATCTAACAGCAGAGAATAATAAATGCCCAAATAGGAAGTACATTGAAGGTACAAGTAAACTACAACATGAATCCACCATAGGGATGGAATACTTCTAGACAAAAGAACCAGGGAAGGCTACTTGGAAGAGGTAGTGTTTGACTGGTCTTAAAGGAAGAACAAGATTTTCAGTAAAATGTCAGCTCTTTGAGGATAGGGAACTGTTTTTCTTTTTTTCCCCTTTGTATCTCTAGCACCTAACACAGTACCTGGCACACAACAGTGCTTAATTAATGCTTGCTGAATTGAATTTCAATTGGTGGCAATGGGGGTGGGAATTGGCATTAAAGTACATGAAAGAGTGTAAATGCACAGAGGGAAGAAAGTATGTCAGAATGGCGAATAACTAGACTTAGCTGGAATGTAGGGCTCTGGAAGGAAAGGAACTTCTTGCCTGGCTCCACCCCAACTCTCTTTACTCTTCTGTCCAACTGCTTGTTTAACTCTGCCCCAGCAGCTTCCTCACTCTGGAGATGCCTCTGCCCCTCTGTCTCCCTCTTTAGATTGCTGAATTTTTGCCAGAACTGTCATTTAAAGAAGTGCCCTAGCTAGTCATGTTCACTTCTCTCCCAGCTCTGCCCCAGAATCTCCAAACTCTGCCCTTGTGAGGGTATATCCCACCCCTCAACCTCCTCCACAGCTCTGCTCCCTTTTCCATATTATCCTCCTCCGTTAGAAGGTTAGCTCCTTGAGGACAGGAATGGCTTTCTTTTAGTTTGTATTGGATTCCCAATGCTTAGCACAGTTCTTGACACACAGAAGTGCATAATAAATGCTTTGTCCAGCTAAAATAAGGCTGGAATCATAATAAACTATCTCTGCCTATTGAAATCCTTTCCTTATTTGAAGGCTTTATTCTGATGCCATATCCTCCATGTCCTCCATTCCCCACGTCCCCTCTCCTTCCTTCTACATGCTTCTTTGTTTGACACTCACATGTACTTAAAAGTCAGCAAACAGGACAAGCTGGGAAGGGACAAAAAAGGGGGAACTTTTTACAAGAAGGGAAAGTGATAATTTAATTATAGTTTTCAACTTCAGGAAGGATATTCTCCAGAGAGAGAAGACAAGCTTTTCTCCATCATCATTCAACGTACAACCATAGAAAATGGGGTTAAATTGCAATATAAAGAATTTAGATTTACTTTAAGTAAGATATTCCCTTTGGTAAAAAAACACGAAATAATGGAATAGAATACCAAGAAAAGCTGTGGAATCTTTCATTTTCAGGAATTTTCATCTTAAGGTACCCTGGAGTCATCCTATGTCCATGCTTAATGTTAACAAGCATGAAAATGCACCACACAGAATCACTACAAGATAGCTTCCTTCCCTCATGGAATAAAATTACTTAAGAAAAACACACTTTCAGCTGTGCCTTAATGAACACAGTTGGTTTCTGTTCAGTAATTTAATTTTAGATGAAGATTACCAACAACAAAAGAATATCCTGAATTGTATTGACACTCCAGGTAGAGAAAAGAAAATGCTTCAATCAAAGAATGATCAGCACAAATTACAATTTCAGAGCTGGAACGGCCCGCAAAAAGATCACATAGTCCAACCTATACCTGAACAAGAATCACCTCTAAAACATACCTAATTAATGGTTAGTCATGGAAAACCACTGCTCAAAGCTGCCCATATTCCTTTTGGAAACAGTGCTAATTATTAGGAAGTTTCTCCTTGCATCAAGTCTAAATTGCTTCTTTGCAACTTCTAATCACTGTTCTTAGCTCTTCCAGCCCAGGGCCAACTGGATACACATCTTCGTTTATAAGCATTTCTTTAACCCTTTAAGCTATGTTTATGAATTACCACACCCCAAAGAATAAGAAAAACCTTTTTCTTTGATCGAAAGTTTGAAAGATAAAAGGATGTAATGCTTTTCAAATCAAAGACCCTTGATTGGGGTGTAATGATTCAGTCACTATCTTAAGAGTTTAAAGTACCATTATGGAGACCTTTTCAGGAATGTTCTAACTGCAATGTACTCTGCAGAGGAACACCAGAACTTTCTAGTGAAAAGCCAACTGAATCTATAAAAGGCTAGCTAATAGGCTAAACTGGGTCACTGTGTATTTAGCGGCTACAAGTATAAACCCAGCCCTGAAAGGTCTCCAGAACCATTCTAAAGATCCAGGGCAAGATTAGTCACTACTCCTAGTTTTACAGTCATTCTAGGATACAGGAGCATGAGCTGAGGGCAATGAATGAACAGTTCATGGTGCCTTCCAGAAGAAGATAATGACTATCCATCCAATGTCCAAGGGTAGAAGTTAGCATTTACAGAATCCTCTCGAAAACGAAGTAGAACCAGGCCACTGTAGCTGGAATGGAGCTGGGAGATACTGCAGCAGAAGGGGCTCTGTCTAGAGGAAGGACCTGGGTCTGAATCCTGGCTTTGCCACTGACTGCTTGTGGCTTTGGATAAATTACTTTATATTCCTGCTCCTCAGTTCTTTTATAAAATGGGAGGGGGAGGGATTTAGATCAAATGACTTCTAAGGTCTATTACAGCTCCACAATATATGTCCATTTTACAGAGAAGAATACTAAAGAATGGAGGTGAAATAATCTGTCTGAGGTCACCATTTAGTGGCAAAGTGGAACTTAATCAAAGGCCAACTGACTCCTTGGAGTTTAGGGCTCTTTATACTACATCTGCTAATTTGTTACTGCTCTTCTGCCAAAATTTCGAAGTAAGAATGATCAAGCTTAACTAGAAGAGACCACTTATGGGTGAGCCATGTATCTTCCTACAGAACACACTGACTGAACAGTAGGGAGAACACCTACTGTCCAGTACCTGTACTGATACTCAGTAGCTGTGTGCCACTAAGCAATAATGACTTCTGGGAGTCTGGTTCCTCATTTGCAAAATGGTTACAACAAATCTGCAGTACTCTTTCATAGGCTGTTGTAAAGAAAGCATTTATAAACATTAAAGCCTAAACTTTTAAAGTACTACATAAAAATAAAGCTTTTACCTGGCAGATAATAAGCAGTTAAACGCCTTTGCATCATTCCATAAAAAAGAGGGAGTCAGGTAGACACTAACTTAATACTCATCATTTGTATTTATATACAGACACTCCTTGAATAATAAATGTAGATTTATTTACTTTAATTCCCAGAGATTTTAATAGGGCCTGATGCACATACTTAAACATGAGTATATATATTTACATGTGGAGGCACTTTTTCCTTGCCCTGAGTAGTATGCCTCTCATTCCAAGACTACTAATATATAATATGATCTTCTGGAGATAAAAATTAACATGCCCCAAATTCCGAACATCCAGATTACGTGTAGAGCATTGAGACCTAGTTTGGTGCATGGGGGTTTGGGAAGGGGAATAGTTAATTATTTAAATGGAATTTTTGTGGGGGAGAGGGGAAGAAGGGAGGAGTCTGGTTATGTGGTTTCATTCCTGTGGGGAATACAGACAGGAGGCACTGGGCCCGGAGTCAAGAAGATCTGAGTTCAAATCCAGCCTCAGATGCTTAACTAACCATGTGACTTAAGCAAGTCACTTAATCACTGTTGGCCTCAGTTTCCTCAATTGTAAAATGGTGACAAATGAGATATCTGTGGGAAAGAAAGGGCTTAGCATAGTGCCTGGCACATACTAGGTGCTATATAAATGCTTGTTCCATACCCTCTACCAATCTTCAGCAATTTAGTAATGTGAATGCCATAACTTATAGACAGAGTTGCCTGGGGCGTTAGGTGACTTGCCATGGTCACAAAGCTAGAATGTCAAAGGAAGCCCTGAATATAGGTTTTTCTGATTCATGACACAGGAGGGATCTGAAATAATTTATGTAAGCAATGATCTGTCTGGAGCCCCCACACAGAGTTCATTGGCCAGGGAGTAAACAAATGAACGGGTTTTTCTGCTGTATACATCACCATTACCCTCTCTTTCTATTTATGGTCTTTCCTACAAATTAACTGTCACTAGTATTTTCTTCCTGCAAATATTATAAGCAAGGAAGTTTTCATGTCTTATTACATTCAGAAAATAGTAAGTAGCTTCCATTCAATGTTTCATCCCTTAAAGAACCTTCAGAATGGTAAAAATTTTCAAATACTAGGAACTTGTGAACAAAAAGTAAAGTGGATCAGTCAGGTAGTGAGTGTGAGAGAAACTAGTAGACACTACCTGAGTTCTCCACTGGTAATTCACACAATGTCAAGAGATCCAGAAGGCCCTCAGATCTCAAGGTAGACAATGGGGAAAATGGACAGGAAGGCATAGACAAGAATTGCACATGATGAGAAGGTAAAGACAAGTCTCAAACTATACCAGTGGAGTCATCACTCTGATGAAATTACACATCTATAGAAGTTCAGTACAAAAGAAAGTAAGGAGGAAGGTAGGAGTTTGGGAAGGAACATTGATCTCTTCATCCCTACATGAATTGGTATGTCACAAAATGGTTGTTGGATTGGAAGGTGTGGATTATATGGGTAGATAACAAGATGAAATAAAATGGGCAATTTTGGGCTGAGGAGACTAGGATGAACCTAGGATTTGCAATCCTACTAACTAATCCTGATAGTTTTAGGCACGAAGAAGCTCTGTAAAATATTAATAATAATAATGATGCTACTAACATATTTGTACAAAGGCTTTATAATTCACAATGAACTTTCACATACATTGTAACAAGAACATTCTGGCAGAAAACATTTTATAATCTTCCTTTTTAAAAATGAATAAATGGCTTCAGAATGGTGAAGGTCACATGGTTAGTCAGCTGCATTCCAAAACTCTCCTGATGACTGTTAATCTACTGTACCACAAGCCTTTTTGCAC